GCTCCAAGTTATGGCTGGTGCGCAGATGCCGCCCCAAGGCCTCATGCACTGGGAGGGTTATGGAGACCCACAGATGGCTTGGTCTTAGGAGGTGGGGTCAGTGCAAAGAGGCAGTCCCTGGAGCTCTGACTTGGAAGGGTCTGTCTGCCTCCCTGGCTTCCAGCGTTCCTCTCTCGCTGCTTCCTGGCTATCGTGCCACAAGCAGCTTCTCCCAGGCGATCCCCTTCTGCCATGCAGGCCTGCCTTGGAGCCAAGCAACTATGAACTGAAACATGAGCCAAAATAAACCTCTCGTCCTTTGGCTCGTCCAGCAGGACAGCCTGCACTGTCCTACCAGGCGCCTAGACGGAGAGATGGGAAGATAGAGGGAGAAAGGAAGGATAAACGTGGGGACACACACCAGAGAGAACAACGGAGCATGACCAAGGTTGGAGCCAGGCCTTTTATAATCGGCGCCCCATCAATAAGACCAACTCACATTCCGGGGGAAGGGAACGTGCAGACCGCAGATGACAATAGATGGGGGTCCGAGGAGCCATTTTCCTGACTGCCTAGCACACCTTGGCAGCTAGCACCACGTACCGGACAAAGATGGCCTCGCGCAGAGATGGCAGGTGTACGGAAAGTATAGCGAGCTCTCTGACAAGGGTAAAAAGGAGACACTCTGAGGTGGTAGGAAAAGGAGAACTTAATTCAATTTGGGACATCCTGCGATGTCTTCCTTAAGAAAGTGACTTGAGTGAGGTCTCAATTAGACCTCAGAAATGGTCATTTCAGAAAACAGACCAACACCAGAAGGGTCTGAGGTCTGAAAGAACATTAAAATCACACGGGGAGCTTCCCAGGCTTCTGATTCAGCAAACCTGGAGGATGTAAGAATTTACATTTCAGTTGATTCTGGTGACCTGGGCCCAGGCACTGCGCTTTTGAGAAATACAGACTTAAGCAAAGACTTGGAAACAGAGCATGCTGGGAAAGAAACAAATACTTTTATTTATCAAGTTGAACAGACTCAGTTTCCTAGTACTTTTAGATTCAGTGGAAACGAAGGGTGTTAGTCTGTACTTAATGAATCCCAAAATTATAAATTCTGGGTATTGAGAAGAATTTGGAGAATGTGAACCCTTCATTTTACAAATGAGCTAAGTGGAAGTAGAAGATGGGCTCCAATAGGCAGCGTCGTCTTTTTAAATCAGACAGGTCTTAGTGGTTCTCTCACTCGAAGGTTCCTCAATGAAACACACTAGGGCCTTTCCCTTTGGCGTCTCAGTGCTTTCTATTTGAGATGAGCCAAGGAACTGTGGTGACACTCCCAGTGAAACACTCATCTTTCATAAAACATGCATGTCCATATGGAAGGGAGGCTGAGAATTCTCTGAAAACCTCTGAGTCCATCAGCCACGTTTCTATGTGATTGAGACCTAGAACTCCTGCCTGGCTCCTTGGGCTGAGAAGTCTGAGCTGTGCTTCTGGCCTCTTTCACCCTCTGCTGTCCTTTTTCTTTCCCAAGGGCTCACATGCCCAAATTTAGCTACCTAAATGGCTCTGCAAAACTTGGGTTTGGTGGTGCTGCTCCTTTGTAAAACCCAAAGCATTAGTAAAATTAAATCTAAATGCAAACTGGGTCAAACCCATCTTGACTCCTGAAATATGCTTTCTTCTGAAAGAGAGTAGTAAAATCCTGTAGTCTATTCTTTCCAACAAATGCACAAAATTACCTTGGTGTCTTTATTCTGTTGTCTGAGCTGTTGTCACCTTTTATTTGACTTTACTGAAGGAAACAAGATGGAGACAGTTTTGAACAGCCCAAGGGAATCTCATTTGCACATTCAAATACAAGCATGTGTTTATCATAATTTCCTAAACTCTGGCTTCCGCTCCCCTCACTCTTTCCCCACTTCACAGCCCCCACTCTGACATATGCTGCCACTCCCAAGGATATGCATAGACTCTTACAATGTGAGAAAGATTCTGAAGGTGTTTGAACAGTTGCCCCTTTCCACTTGTGGTTTCTGCAGCAACCTCGGTCGCCATTCTGAGAAGTCCTAGAGTTCACAGCCCTCACTTCCTGCTAACAGGTGAAGCCCACGCAGAACTTTCACCTTGAGCAATAGGAGAAACTACAGATACAGACAGGTTAACTGCAGCTTCTCTCAAACTTGAAACACTCAGTTCCTGAGCACAGACTCGTTAACTTATAGGAGAGGATGTCACATCGTAGCTAATGTCCTCCTTGCAAAGTTGGCGAGGTAAGCCCTGCAAACTGCAAGTCCATTTTATTCCTGCCTTTGCCAACTCAATCACAGATTGTCTCCTCTTCACTGGCTGAGTGAGCATCACTTAATGAGAGGCATCGGGTGTACAGTGGGAGAAGTGGCCGTGGACAGAGAGGAGTGCATCTCCTCAGCCTGTTGATGGTCAGATCCTGCCTCACTCCCCAGCTCTTCGGCTTGAGCCAAGTTACTTAGCTTCTGCAGCTCTCAACTTCTTCCTCGGGGCCTTGGTTTGCTCGCCTGTGCAGAAGAGGTGCTGTGAGAGTCAGACTCTGAACATCGAACTGACCTAGTGCTATCCTTGCTGACATTGGGTGCTCAGAAATGGTAGTCACGACAGCTCAGGCAGTAAATCAAACACGATTTTCTTCACAACGAAGCCCACCGTCTTCATTTTGTTGTTAGCAGCTTGATTTTGTTTTCCACTGACTCAGAACCACTTTGGTGTAACCTCCTCTTGATCCTGGCCAAATCAGAGAAATCCAAAATTACTAGAACACTAGTCTAGGGTTAGTCTCTGCCTGAAAACCTGTGAAGTGCTCAGCATGCTTTCCCCAACCAACAGCAAGTTATTAATAACGTATTTTTTCAGTCATTAGTAAGGCACTGTCAGAAAGGACTCAGACCCCCACAGCTTCTGGGATTCCATAGGAAAAAAAAATGTTAAATGCTGGAAGTTGAAGTATCAGCAACGCGCATTTGTTCATCTCAAACAAAAGATGCCTTTTTAAATAAAGGAAGCTGTGGTGTGCACAAACAGAGAGAGAGAGAGAGACTCTGGCTGCAAAATCCACCCCCCATCTTCTCCAGGGAGGCTCACGCCTCTGCCTGCTGTTCATCAGCCTAGATTTTGATGGGGTGATTTTTAGTCAGCTGCCTCGATCATTTTGGCACGGACAAAAATCCTTTAAAAAATGTTACACTTCATCAAAGTGTATCATGAGACTTCACGGTCATTATCTCAATGGTCGCTCTGATGTGCTACAATTGGCAGACACACAAACGGTAGGGGTGGAAGAGAAGAAAGCCAGCATTTCATGCGGAAAGCTGGCAAAGCCTCGCCAAGCTTCTGTCAACAACTCCACGGTCTGATCCGATGCACTGAGCGTGCTGATGATGCTCTTGTTTCTGGAGGAAGTAAACAAGAAAATGAATTCCACCGTGCAACACAGCCTCTTTGTATCTTCAAAATGGTGTGACTGGACTCGGGCCAGCCGTGTTGAAAGTTTGGCCATTTATGTCATCAGGGCCTCAGTTCTGATGGAGGCTTTGATTACAACTTGGACCCAGCTATAAGACCCTTCAGGGACAGCCACTCAGCAAATAAAGGCATTGATTGGTTGTTGGGTCAATTTAGCCATAAGGGTACAGAGCATGGCTCTTTTGAAAAGTCTAATGGATTAGCTACACAACCAGTCCCACTGCAGGACTTATTTTTCAAGTAACTCCATGACAGTTTTCCAGCTTGGCAGGGAAATCTTCCTCCAGAGCAAGCTTTAGAGCCCTTCTTATTATCAATAGTGGGGCTCAGAGGATTAGACACTGGGGGCCTTACAATGTAATAAAAACAACTGTTAAAAAAACAATTAAGGCAAACAATAGTTTTCATGGAAAACTATTAATTATGTAAAGTTATGCAGAAAGCAGAAAAATCTTTTTTTATTCAGAGCCCTCTAACACTGAGGACAACTGGAGTTACCTTCCACTGCATCCAGTGGCTCTCAAGTGGCAGGAAGTGGGGGTCCTTGGAGGAAGGGGCTCCCCTGAGTGTAAGCAGAAAGGAAGCAGAACACCAGGCTGCAACTTTGCTGCGAAGAGAGTAAAATAGTCAGGAAAGGAATGTTTGTCAGACTTACATTACCTTGCGTATCTTGGATCTTTTTGATAACTCAGAGCTGCATTTCCCTAAATAACTGAAATTGGATTGGAGCCTTCCTGCTGGGATCTCAACTGAATTTTTATAAAAACAAACAAAATACCATTTGTATAATAGGCCCTATTTCTAGCCAAGGTTCACCCTGAGAAAGTGACTCGGGAAGAAGTGGAGTCTCTTGTTCTTTGACGAAGTTTTCATTACATGGTGATGGTCCCGCTCGGACTCCTACCTCTCCTCTTTTGCCTCTGCTCTTTCCTCTCCTAAATGCAGTTTGCCCTCTTCTTCTTGCTGGAGCTTTTAAATTCATTGCTTTCTCTTCACAGTTTCTATCCTTGACCAGCAGTGCTGGGAATTGACTTACGGCCCTTCACCTACCTGTGTTCCACATCTGATGCTCTTCCCGGATGGGAATCACCAAGCCAAGCAGTCCCATTAAGAAGGCTGTTAACTGCACACATAAACATTGCTTTCTTACCTACAGTTACATGTATTTCTCCTCACTTCCAAGTAACTGGTTTTAGCACTCTTTCCAGCATGCCCAATACCTTTTATTTGACTATATTGTTTTAGAAGGGCCTTTGGGAATTTAGCTAATTTCATGCAAGAAGTTATTAAGTGGGATTTGACATTCTTTGATAACTCCAATAAACCATTAGTCAAGTCTCACTCCCTCTAAGGAAGGAATAAAAGCTTTATTAGTCATCGGGTCTCTATTCTAAACATGTCACCTGAATTTAGTATTGCATCTGTGCTGAAATGCAACTGACTTGCTTATTGAGTAGAACTTTCTCTGAAACTCCAAGGAAGCTGCCATTGGCTAACATAGGAGGACAGCATCTACCTTCTTCGGAAAATTCTCTTTGGATCTACGTGTGCATTTTGAGATAACTTAGCAAATTTAATTTCTCGACCTCTGATAAAGGTTGATAAAATAAACAAGACAAACTCACATGTTCACCTCTGTATCAACACACTAATTCGCTCTAAGGGATCAGATTCTTGCCTTTCTTTGCCCAGAATACAAGAATAAAAATAATCTTTCCTTCTGAGAAGTGGAAAACCTTGAGAAACCCAATCTCAAAAAAAAAAACAAAAAGAAAAAAAACAGAACATAATTGAGTGTGCAAAGGAAATTCATTACTAGGGTCAGAAACAATAATTCAATTAGCATGTATTTGTGTAATGCCTTTAAAATCATTCTAAACCCAAAACCACATTCATCTTTGAAATGTAATACCAACTTGGCACCCAGCATACTCAGATCACATTTTGCACGAGAGATTACAAAACAGCATCAAGATTGCAAAAGCAATTATTCCAGTTATCCAGATGTGATTTTTCAATCATCCTAGGAATTTTTTTTAGCAGTTTTTATTCTGTGGCGCTGCTTGCAGCTCTCACACTGGCACACTGCTTGCATCTCTTCATTATTAATTCAGCTCATGGAGCTTAATTGGACAAGGCTAGAGCGAATTTGACAAACATCACAGCAGCAGAAAAAGCAATCACTCTTTCAAGATGAAAATTTGTTTGATGTCTTACTGTGTAACTCATTTACTCTCCTCGGGAGTCATGTGACCTGAATGTTAATCAGCCATTGATTGGTTTCTCTCCTTGGACAGTCACGTGACCTGAATATTAACAGGCTGGCACTCTGTCACTGCACTGTTAGGCAACCTCGTGATTGGCTGCCAGGTTAGGATACAGAGATAAGTAGGTGCTTGATGAGCACTTGACAGAACTTCACAGAAAATTAAGGCCCTAAAATAGCATGAGAAAGTCTTGTCAAATCAAGCATGATTATCATTGAATGCTTAAGGAATTCATCATCGGCATGAAATTGATACACTTCAGTACCAGCAGGGCCTGTAGTCAGCGGGGACTCATCAGATTTTTATTTATATGTGTTCACCAAATCACATTAATTCTGAGAGCTAAAACATGCTAAGGATGAAGGTTATTTTCTGTTCAATCTAATTTATCTATGACAATAATCATCACTAATAATGTGTCAAATTGGATTGCAGTCATTTTATGCATGCATGCTGATTTGGAAAATAGTGTTAAACCGTCCCGCAGTAATTAACAACTGGTAAAGGTATGCTGGCCCAACGTAATCAGCATATCTAGATGGAAAATTAAGTTTTATAGAATGGATTTATAGATACATATCCATATTTAATTCAGAATACAAATTATTCTTGGTAAAAGCCGACATCATTTTTATAACACTATTAAAGCCAATAACCATTGAGAGACTCGCATTCTTAATTTGCCCCATCGTTCATTTTTTCTCTCATTTTCCACAGTTAACTTTCTAATGGATGTCACCTCCTTATTGGCAAGTCTTCATGGGAGCGGGGTCGGGTAGAGCTAAGCGATGAATAAATATGCCCCGACTTAAGCCTTAATCATGGATGAAGGCAGCCACATCGTACCTCTTAATACACAACGCTTCATAATTGTTGGTGAGGGCTGGGAGGTGGGCAGCAGGGCGATTACAGAAAGGGGGTGGTGCTAGACTTTGGCCTTTTGGTGTCTCTCCATTATTTCTCTTTGCAAAGGGACAAGAGGAAATTTTGCAGATTATCTTATAAGGGATTAATGTTTCTTGGTGCATTGTTTAAGCCTAAATTGCTTTTGTTGAAGTACCTTTTATGGAACAGAAGTTTTTTTTTTTCTTTTTCTCTTTTAAGTAGCCCCCCCACGGTTTATAATAGAACTACTGGAGTCATCAAATTTTGGGGTAAGGACATTTTAAAGAAATGTTTATATCGTTTGGTGAGTGGGCTACAATGTTTAGGAGGAGAATCGCACTCCCTAAGGAGGGAGATCAGATACACATGAACCCTGGTTTCTTTCCCACAGATCCCCACCCCATCTTAATCCCTGGGCGCCTAGCCCTGCCAGGATTCTGTCCCCTCTCTCAGCAGGTCTCTTTATTGATTAAATGAATCTGCTCCAAAGGCTGGCTCCCAGGCTCTTTGATCTAATCCGATCTGATTTTATCCTATCGCTTCAGCAGGACATCAGGGAATTAACAATAAGCAGCTTTGCCACAAGTGTTTAATAACTCAGCACAATCTCCTTATGGCTGGGAGCTGCTCAAGTTCCCATCCAATCCACGGCAAACAGTGTAACAGATTGGCCAGTGCCCCTGAACCTGAGGAATTTCCATGCACTGTGAAGCTAATCACTTCAAGTTTCTCCATAAAACTACACAGAGCAGATTTCTGCATCTTAACAAATTGAAAAAAACAACACTGGATGGGGAGGGGCACACAGAAAAGACTCACCTTCCAGCTAAAGCGGGGGCAAGGCTGGCAGGGTGGGGGCAGGCACAGATCTACTTCCGGCCTCTCACACAGTGCTTCTCCACCTTACATTTCCTCATGAATAAAATAATCTGGGTGGGCTCAAACCTAGCAATGGTCTAAGCCCACGATGAACTTTTTTTCCCCGCTGTGAAGCAGGTGCTGTGGTTTCAACCACAGGCCGTGCTGTTGTTCCTGTGATGGCCCTTGCCTTATGCAGGAAGTGCACAATGAAAGAAAGAGCCTGCGTCCCATGTGTGCCGTGCAGAGCGGAGATGTGAGTGTGTCTGTCCCTGGATTTCAAACTAGCGCACGGGCCTGAAGGGCTTGTAAGTGATCACTCAGTTACAGAGCCAGCCTTGAAATGCCATGTGTTTTGTTTTGTTTTGTTTTGCTTTGTTTTCTTAACTCTGGGCTGCCTCTACCTACATCCCTGCATGTAAATAGCCAAGGCAGAACTCGCTTAATATCTTTCTTCCCACCACAAAACAAAAAGCATGGTGCCTCTCTTTTCTCAGTCTCATTCACACAGTCTACAAGTAATCTCCTTCTCTGAGACAGAAACATCCAGGGCAAGGCTTACCCTTCTGTAAGGCCAGAGCCGGGAGGCGAGGCAGGGAGACGCTGGGAGGGGAAACAGGCTTTTGAAAGCTGCCGGATTATTGGTGCCATGGGGAAAACACCACTCCAGCACTCATCTAAAATGAAACATCTTTTAGTTGCTCTGTTTAATACCTACTGTACACCAGAGTTACCTATAAAAACACGTTTCATAACAAAAAGCCCTCTCTCCACCTCTGTCACTGTTCTCCACCAGCCTGGCAGCTCTGTAATTTCTCACTATATCTGCAGAGTGAGGAAGGGCTGCTTACTGAACCTCTGGGGCAGAGGGAATTTGCCAACAGGTTTAGGCCAGACTGCAATAGTGGGATCTTTGTCCCTATTCCCGGGGGACCTAGGGTACTTGCTAATTCGCTCAGATACAGCTGGAGGCTTTATTATTGTTTTCCTAAGTAAAAACATTTATTTTCATATCCTTCCCCTCCCACATGCATTCATTAGTATTTATCTAGATTCCCCCTACTACTTATAGAAGTCCAACATTTTGAGACACCCCCCCCCACATATGCTCAAAAACAATCTGCTTTTGAGTCTGCGATCCTCTCAATATGGACTGGAATGCTGGCATGAATGCTGTAATTATTTCCTCTTTGGAAATGCCTTTTGCCTTACTTTTTTTCTGTTCTACCAGATAAACTATGTCATAACAGAAAAATCTCTGTGAAGTTCTCCAAAGAACTCTGTGCTGTTTCCAGACCCCGGGACTGTAATTACGCCTGTGTAATTAAAGCAGAGTGCCTCCCGCCAACTGTGAGCAACCCTGTTTACATCACAAAGAGATAGCAAGACATACTCAGGAAGGTTCCAGCCAAAGTAATCTAGAGGGCTGCCTCAACTGGCTCCACTTTCTAAATATTGTCCCTGGGCTAGGGACAGTAAGCCACAGGGGAAAGTACGCAGGAGGGAGGACGCTGAGCCAAGCCGGAGCCAGAGGCCTGCTGACTTCCCCCCTGGGCAGAAGTCACAGAGCTTGGCTACTTGCCCCCCACCCCCACCCCGGCTTTGGCTGGAGTCTGTTTGCACATCTGGCCCAGGTGCTTCTCCTGCAGGGTCCGGTGTGGTGCATTGCTGGCCTTCTGAAATCCCCAAACTCTGAGCTCGCATGCAAAAAGTTCAGAGCATTAGGCCAGGGTGTGAGTACATTCTTGGCCTCCAATAGCACAAGGAAGATTCTTCTACCTGTCGTTCAAGCAGTTCACAAGCTTGTCTTTCTCTGCTGCTCTCCTTGGAGGCTGCAGCAACTGGAAGGAAATGAAAAAGACTCACAGAGGGAGAGACGGAAAAGAAGAGACACGTAGAGAAGAGGAAAGACACCAAAGCCACATTTTGAGAAAAAAAAAATCCCTATAAAATAAGAGCATATTACATTTTCTTATATTTTCAAAATGTAGCCAAACTAAACCATTAAATGAGGATTTTGTTTCACAAAGTCTGCAAACCATTCAACCGCTAAGCCACTATACCAGGAACGTGGTGCCAACCAAAATATGTCAAGATTAGTAGTATTCAATAAAATCTCAAAACCAAATGACATGCAAGCTGTATTTCATGATTAGAGCGCTTCCTTATGTCAAGGAACGCACATATTAACTTGTTTAAACATGGCTCTGCACTGTTACTCTTTTGTCAAAAGCAGAGGAAAGAGAACCTAGCGCTAACCAAACCCATCCGGATGAAACCTTCATGCTTTCTCTCCTCCTGGCAAGCGGCACCGCCACCATCCAAGTAATCCTCACCTTGTGAGAGGAGAGCCTCCAAAGGGAAGAGAGGCAGGAGAGTCCACCTCCGCTCTTACCAAGTGGCACAGTACAAGCAGGTTTGCAGATGCCTGGCCCAGGTCCCAACACAAGAGTGCACGAGAGGATGAGAATCAAAAAAAACAAAATGCTGACTTTTCCCCTAAGACAGCAAATCACCCAAATTACAGAATGCAAACACTTCATCTTCTTCTAGTAAAATGAATGCCTTTGTAACCTTAAGGGTTATGTAATGTTGAAACAATTACAAAGGGCGGTGGTATATGCTTTCTTACTGCATCCTCAGACGTGTGCTGGTCATTTATATAAGATTATCCCCACTTTGTAAGACAGAAGCCTGAGTCTCCAGAAGACGAAATGTCCTGTCCACGTGGCAATGTCAGAAACAGGTAAAACTGGAGCAGGAGCTGGGCACTGTGGCAATAACTATACTCTTAGTTGTTTGGGAGGATAAGGCAGGAGGGTTGCAAGTTCAAGTTCAGCCTGGGCTACATAGTGAGACCCCGCCTAAAAATACAAAAGCAAAACACAGAAACCCAAAGCAGACCAAAAACAATAAGAAGGCTGGGCGTGGTGGCTCATGGTTGTAATCCCAGCAGTCAACAGGCTGAGGCAGGAGGATCGCTATGACTTCAAAACCAGCCTGGACTACATAGTGAGTTCCAGGTCAGTCTCAACTACATAGTGAGACCCTGTCTCAAAAAACAAAAACAACAAGAAAGCAAAACAGGATTCCCCCTCTCTTTGGAATCTCAACCAAAGGGAAACTTCCCAAAATGATGCTAATGCAATGTCTCTTGTTGCACCCAAATGCTTTAGTTTGAGATGGAATCTAAAAACAGAGAGGGGTGACTGTCTCATTCTCTGACTGTCAACAACAATGAGCTGCTGTGTGCTTCTACCTGGCTGGAGAAGGAAGGGAGGTGACCTCCCATTTGCAAACTACAGTAGTAACTGACATCTGTGAGGACGGTAGGAACCCTTGAGGCAGCCACTGGGTGGATGGAAGGGTGCAGCCTGCTGTCTCTTACCTAGTGCTCCCTGCAGGGAGCTGCTGGACCTTTGTCCACCAGCAGGCAGCAGGGGGCTGCCTCCACCTGTCCCCTATACTGCGTGCCTCCTTCTTCTCGTGTATCTTCATGTTACTGGGAAGTTGTTGCCTTCCTTTCAAAGCCACCTGAGCCTCGACATATCACAGTGTGGCTTCTCTCAGAGTGCCCATCGGGCCATCAGTCTGATTGGCAGTGTCTACCACTTGCCCGAGCAGAGGTTGGGCCTTTCAAGATCTGGGAGCTGCCTGCCCTTCTGGCTTCATCCCAGAACACTGAGCCACCTCCACTTGACACAGCTGCCCCGAGACACTGCGGTGGCTGGCTAAGTCGCATCTCCCCGAGTCTGTAATTCACATCCCGAATCCTGGCACCCAGTGGCTCACAATGCAACTGCCTTTGGAGGACAGGGTCTTGAAGGAGGTAGTCGAGGTAATCTAAGGTCACATGGATGGGCCCTAATCCACTCTGGTGTCTCTCTAAGAAGAGATTAGGTCACCAGAGCGTGTGCATAGAGAGGGAAAGCACATGGCTATCACAAGACTTCCAAAGACACCAAACCTGCTGATGCTTGATCTCTGACTTCAGTTCCTGAATTGTGAGAAAATAAATTTTTGTTTTTTGAGTCTCTTTATCTGTGTTGTTTCATCACAGCAGCCTAAGCAAATGAACAGAACTTCTCATCTCTCTGTTTACACCCACTGAGCACTCTGTTGGGTACAGTCCACCTTTGGCTGTTGGCCTGGCAAACACTTCTTCATCTCCCATGTTCGATGCAGTGCTAGGTCTGCTTCTCCACAAGGGCTTCTCAGATAACCATGGGCACCGAGCAGTTCATCTCCTGGCTCTCTCTCTAGAGAAAGTCTCATGGTACAGGGACCTCTGATGTCACCCCCAAGGCCTAGCACAGTGCTCCCATCAAAGAGAACAAAGTTAATGTTTGATGGGAGGAATGGAAGAGTGGTAAAAATCGTGACTAAGACACACTGAATGTTTGCTGTGTGCCAGATTCCATGCTAATAGTGTACTAACCAATTTTATCCTCTCAGCAACTGTACCAAGCAGATAATGCTGTTACCCTCATTTAACTGCGAAAGTCCAAGTCCTATCAAGATGAGTAAACTTGCCCAAGATCATGCAGAGCCAGAGATTTAAAGCCAAGTATCTGCCTTTTGAGTCTGTGTTCTTAAGAAAATGTCTTTTGAGGAGACAGAAAAAGAAGATAGGCAGGGAACAAGAGAAGGGAAGAAATCAACTGTGTAACCTTGGGCAAGATACTTCCATCCTTTGAATCTCAGTTTCCTCATCAGCTTATCTCTGCGAAGTCTCAAGTGTGGTAATAAACAAGAAAGGGTGTTGCACAACCACACAGGTTAAGTTCCAGTGGCCAGAGAGCCATCAAGGAACCGGACGGGGACCCAAAGGTAAGGTTTGCAGACAGAGGCACGTTGCATGTTGGGTAATCTGGAAAGAGATTTCACAGGAGAGAACGAGGTGAACAAGGATGAGGCTTAGAATGCAGCGCCTCCCTGCTTCCCACCGGAGAGGAGAAGTCATCCATCATTTTGCAGGACTCCAGAGGCACCACTCTCCTTGTAACTTGTGCGTGTTGCTCTTGGGCATGGTGCTGACCAGAGGATCTCTGAGGACGGATGGCAGTCTGGGGTGTTCTACGCATCCGTTAGGTAGTCAAGCTGCAGTTTACTAAGCCATTTTAGGGACCTCATACTTAGCGCTCAGGTCCTAATGCTACCTGTGGAGTGGAAGGGGCTCCTGTTGCTTTCATCCTGGAACTTCATGTCGTTTTTCTGGTCAAGGTTTTGTTTCAAACACTGCCTGCACTGGAACACCATCCTCTCTTTTTCCCATGGACTCTGAAACTCACTGAGCATGAGATGATGACTTAATGAGCCGAATCTAGCTGTTCCTCACCTGCCAACCTCCTCTTCTTCCGAGGTTTTCAGATGACCTACTTACCTAGTCTGGGAGCAGAATGGTTAAAGCTCTTGGAGGAAATCAACTGTAAATAGAAAGGCTCTGTTTAACATGATCCTCTCCAGAAAACTCTATCTTCTACAGTCACTGTAATCAACCCTGCAGTGTCAGGCACGGTTCTTGATTATCTCCCCGCGGCATTATGTCTCACCACATTGCTGATAATAAACTGATGGATTATCAAACAAGATTACAGCTTTAGCAAATAAAATCATGTTTTGTGTTAAGAGAGAAAATGCTTACCATCCCTATCTGCCTGGCTAAATATTTACATACCACAAGCTTTCTAGGGTCCCTGTTCTTTCGAATCTGATTTTTAAAAAAACAGCACAGAGGTTAAGTTAACAGAAAAGGGAACAACCCGTGCTTTTGATGCTCAGCTAAATGCCCCTCTGGGAGAACACAGGTACTGCCTGAAGCACAGACCTCAACCAAGGCAAGGCCTTCGTCCAGCCAGATCAATGGGTCCGTGGGACAAGCAGCGGGGCTGTCTGGGCCAGGGAAGCTCTGGTACCTAATTCTATAGGGAACATAAATGAAACTGAACTGAAGCCCAAAGCATGTGTAGCTAGCGTGCAAGCTTGCAAGAAGGGAAGTCAGGGGCTGGGTCACAGTCTCGTGTTCATCGGCTGTCTTCTGCCTTCTATTTTCCAGAGCTCTTCAGTTCTTAGGCTCAAGGCCCGTGACTGGGACAAGTCGAGGAGGCACCTGTAAATACCGGCCCCCCCAATTTTTCACACTTTACAACTGGCACAAAGTGAGGCCTAGAGGCTGTAAGATTTGCAGAATGTCCGGGCAAGCAGGCATCAAACCTCACTTTGCTGGCTTTTCTGGTATCATCTCTGCTCTACTCCGTGAAGCACCACTGAAGGGAAGCGAGAGCAGAGAGATTTTTCTTTCTTTTTCCTCTCTCTCTTTTCCTCTGTTTGTTTTGTTTTGTTTTGGTAGTGCTGCGGATTGAATGAAAGGCCTTTGCACTGATACACAGGCCAAGTCTTTAATTTCTTATTTTGAGACAAATCTCACTAAATCATCAACTTTCCCAGGCTGGGCTTGAACTTGTCGTCCTCCTCCCTCAGCCTCCCAGAGTGCTACGGTTACAGCTATGCACCACCATGCCCTACTTTTTCTTTTGGTACTGGGGGATCAAACTTAAGACCTTGCACTTGCAAGCCAGGCGGTAGAACCACTGAGCAAATCCTGGCCCTCTATTTCTATCTCTTAAAAATGTGGCAGCCTGGACCAGGGATTTAGCGCAGTGACACCACACTTGCCTCGCAAACACAAAGTCCTGAATTTGATCCCCAGTACTAAAAGGCGGGGGGTCGAAATAGGTTTGGAAATTGTACGCTGGTCAGTTTCAGAGAAGAGCACAAGGCACTAATGAAAACCAGCATGGTCAGCTGGAGAGGAAGTGACTTCAGACGCCCTCTCTTCTCTACAAAATATATCAAAGTTG